AAAAAAAAAAAACTATATTTCAATGTGGGAGGTAACATGTTTAGTGAGAAAACTAAATGTAGAACAGTGTGCCCTTCCCAATCTGTATGCTGACGTCAAAGAGCTCCTCCAAGAAAGAAAAGGAGCTGGACATCCACAAGGGAGGCAGGGAATGGGCAACTCCTGAGAACTGGACGTTCTCGCCAGCTCTTTTCTTGCTTTAGAGGAAAAGAAGAATGAGCTGTCCCGAGTAAGCTTCTCCCAGAAAGACAGAGGTAGCCAGCTTCCGCCAACTCCTATAGGATAATTTTGTTTATAAGCTCATTCTTAGAAGTAAATTTGGGGAATTCCAGAGGGGAGTTTGGTTGCATTGCTTTAATTACCAGCTAATACTGAAACTGGATTTCCAAATATGTTCAACTTCAACATCACAGGGTTTAGTGGACAAAGCACTAAAATTTAAATAAGAGGGTCTGTGTTCTAGTCCCTATTTACCACTAACTAGTGATGTTGATGTGGCTTGGAACCATCATTTCAGCTCTCTGGTCTCCTTCCTCTGCTATAAAGTGAGACACTTGATCTAAGGGCCTATGATCTCTGTCTACATCTTTAAACTCCTAAGTTATACATGCAGAGTACTAATTAAAACAATTTTCAAGAGCCTGGAGCTCTCACTTAATAAATGCCTACCAAAAGTGAATGTTCTTCCCATGTTATCTAATTTGCTCTTTAAAACTAGGAGGAATTTTACAGTTGAAGAAACTGAGATTTAGTAAATTAGGTTAAGTGACTTGCTTAAGGACAATAGCTAGCACATGGCAGCATGGTGGGTCAAAACTGAAATGTCTGCCTGCAACACCTGGATTCTTTCCATTTACCATGCCAATCCCTACCCTGTTCCAAATATAAAACAGAGGAAGTGGCATATAGCAAATATCTGTTATGTGCCAGAAACCATACAGTATCTCATTTAGTACCTAAAACAATTTTGCAACGTATTACTATTTACTCCAGCTTACAGACAACAAAACTCAGGCACAAAAGATTAAATCATTTGCTCAGGAATAGAGTAAGTGGAAGAGCTAAGACTTGATCCCAGATCAGTCTGAGTCTCTTAGGTGCTTCAGAAATAGAAATAAATGTGTTGATTTTTTTTTTTCATTTTATTACTTGTTTTATTCTGGAGCAAATGTATGTGTTCATTTGACCTGTTATGTTTGCCTGCATGTATATGAAATGTGACCCATCTTAGACAAGCAACAGAATGATTGAAAGGTTCCTACTATGATTCCAGAATGAACAAAGGTTAAATTAATAGTCACTAATAATAGCATCTAAATACTGGCAAAGTTCTGATTCTCCCTTTGTAGAATTATCACTTAGAACTAATTTAACATAGGCCATTGCTACAATTATATAGAAAATAAGAGGTGTGTAGGTATTTGGCCTCTGTCTGGCATTGATTTAGAAATAAAATATTGTAGCTTGAAATGATTGCAAGTTCCAGTTAATGCAATCCATTGGTAATAATGTGCTCACTCACAAGCTGTTTGTAGTTTTAAAAAAAAAAGACTCCTTTTTTCCCAATATTGTTATTTTTAAATGTCAAGAATCAGATGTCTGCTCTGTAGAACTATTGTACCGCTGCCAGTGACTGTCTGTATCAGGCTTTGGATCAGGGACATGGATTTGAAGACATTAAAACTGTTTAATTCTCAGTTGAGATGTGGTTGGCTTTTATACATTTGGAATAGAGCATTTATGGCACATCTCAGGGTAAGTGCTAATAATTAAGTAAATAAAATAGGAATGGGATCAAAGGTGTAAAAGGAATTTTTGTCGTGGTTTTGTTTTTGCTTTAAAAAAGCAAGCTTTTTGGTTCTGTATGTGCCTCTTTCTGTAAACGTTATGTGTTGAATGACTGGCATATAAAGCCATTCAGAAGAGCAAGATTTTAGATTTCCAACTGCTAACCTAAAAAAACAAAATCCCTTCAAATCATGTATTTTGCATTCATTCAGCAGCAGAAACAGGAAAAGAGAAAGAAAACACTCTC